AACTTGAATCATAGTATATACTAAAACGTCTATTCATAACAGTATGCAGCATTAATGTTTGCCTATAAGAAGATTTGAACATGATTAACTGAAGCACTTCAGAACAATCATGCTTACAGAGTGCTTCTATAATTTGTCAAAGAAAAAAATACATTAATTTGTTTCTTAAACGTCTACCCCATTGCTGCTGAATAGTCAATTTCACTTTAAATTTAACTTCCAATTTAAAAGGATATTGTGAGCAATTTACACAGCAGTTAGATTAACAGGTGTTTAACTGCTAAGCGTGTATTTTAGCAAGTCTGGAACGCTGTGTTGACTGCATCAGCATCAGACCTAAACTATCCATCTAATAAAGCAGCATTAAATCTGTAAGTGTCACATGGAATCATTCAATCATTTACATCAGAAGAGACAAAGTGCACCCTTATTCCCCTAACCTGCTGATGAAACATGACCCACATCAAGCACGCAAGAAAGACGAGCAATCGTGAAGAAGACAGCGAGGCCACGGATGCCATAATGGACATATCCGTGTTTGGAAGAGGAGAGGAAAGAACCAGATCCATCAATTTCCCACAACTCTCCCCTAGAGTAATTTTGCGGTGAGCTTCGGCGCTCTAATTGGTGGACATTTTCAGAAATGAAATTTGACAACAAAAGATAGTCGGCAATGACAGGCCGGCTCCCAGGCTCCCTAACCAGAAGTGACGGCACTTTTTATATGCCATCTGCAATTGAAGAAATAATTAGAAGTATTTTGGCTGGTGTAACACTATTTGGACAGGCCATCAACATTCGCCGACCCCTCCTGCGTCCTCTTGTTCGCAGGTGAAGCTCAATTTGTGCTTGGACCGTTTCATTAAAACACCAGTCACACCGACTCTGCCTTTGTACGGCAGGCAGAGTGCATTCTGGGTAGGCAAATCGGTGTCTAAGAGTGAGGCTGTAATCAAGTCTTCTATCCTCAACCCTCAATTCTAAAATTGTGCACCAGGTCTAAAAAAGAAAGAAAATAAAGCATTTCCCTTTCAGTTCAATCAAGCTGAGATGGAATAATGAGGTGAATATAATTTAAATCTGCAATTTCTGCTTTTTAGAAATAAGCTTTCACATCCTCCTGTTTCCAAAAACAGAACGGCACAGTATGCAGCGGCATGACTTGTTGCTAAGCTACAAGATGCATCTAGAAGAAACCGCTAAGTGAATGCTTTGTGTGAGCGCACACATGTGTGCGTTTCAGTGTGCATGCTTTTTTTCTTGTATGTGCTTCAATGGGAGAGTGATGTGGAATTGCTTTTCTTCAATGAGTGACAGGCAGGAAGTTCTTGAACAAATATGAGAGGAGGAAATGCAGAATGAAAAAGGGGAAAATAGAATGAGGGAAGTGCATTGAGAGGAAGAGAAAAGCTCAGGGGCGGAACGCACGAGTAGCACTTGTCCGGTTCTCCAGATTAAGCCAGATGAATCATAAGGACTCAGAACCCACAAACCTGAAGAAGCTTCCTCTATACGCTTTTATTCTCAGTCTTTCAAAGCCCATTCACATAAAGTCTGAACTTTCAGGCACAAAAAATGCACAAAAAGATTTCCAAACAAACAACGAACCTCTATGAGCTCTATGAGTGCATTTTTATTTGGAGGTTTGCTGATCAATACATTAAGGTATCCAACTTTTTCTGCAAAACAGGAAGTTGCAATCAGAGACAAAGCTCAGGTAAAAAAATAAAAATTATTAATAATAATAATAATACAAATAAATAATAAAAAATTTATATCTATCTTCACTGAAATTCCTGCAATTGTCTTTTTTGGAAGCCAATCTTTTAGATAAAAAAAAATCATTGGATGTATATATTTCTGCTGCAAAAACTGTTTTTTTTTTCTCTCAATATTTTATATTATAAAGTTGTTTAGTTAAACTAGACTTGTTTTGAGACTAAACTAAGACTTTTTTTGATATATTCAGATATCAAACCTTTTCAGAAAATGGAAATTCAGCATTGGAGGTTCTGTGATCAGTTTTGAGGGATCAGCTAGACCTGCAGAATATCCATCATAACAGATACATAAAGTCTACCCAGCTAAAATCCTCTCTTTTAATTCGCAAGGTCTGAATTTATTCCCTTTAAAACAGTGGCACAAAAAATTACAAAATAAATGAATAAACAAATGAAATAAAAATGCTAAAAGTAATTATTTCTATATGCAAACAAATTAAAAGTACATACATTAAATACATAGGAAAAATTTACACAATTTTAGGTTTATTTATAATAATAATATTATTTATTAAAATATTTATTTATTTGCGTGTGAATGTATGTGTAAATTACATATATAATATTTAAATATTTATAATTTACATAACTGTTTTTATTATTTTTTTTATTAATACTATTATTATTATTATATAACATGTATTAATTATAATATTTATTTATATTTAAAAATGACATTTCAATATAACATTGAAGCCTTTTTTAGACAGACAGTTGGATGACTGGTCAACCATCTTGCCCATTTCCAACACGGTTACCTACATTTCTTTCAGACATTGAAAAGACATTAAACCCTCATTGCAGGAGGGATGGTGAATAAGAGAGACAGAGAAGCGGTGTCAGGCCAGGGAAGGGTCTGCAGATACGGGGAGACACTTAAGGGAGCGGGCTGGCACTCTTTAAAAGCAGCCGAATGCGCCTACCGCTCTCATTCAGCTCAGCAGAATGGCTGATTAATTAACGGGCAGAAAAGCACTCCAGCACTCACACAACCAACACTAAAAGCTTTTCTTTCTCCATCTAGTGATTTCTATAATTATTTTGATGGCGAGGCTGCGCTCCAGACCTCAAGAAAGCGGGGTATATTTCTGATGCTCAATCAAAAGAACAGAATTACAGCATAGCTGTGTCAGAGCTGCAGACTGAGCTGATGTGTCCAGCAAAAACGAGAGAATCAATATTAGAGCAGCTCCTCTGGGTTTACAGCTGTGACTCTGTGTCTTAAGGTTATGAGAATTACAAGCCATGGTGAGGAAGAACTTGTTATTAAAGTGTGTTATTAGGCATTATTGGCTTCTTTATGGTTGCCAAGCAACGTGCTGTATTAATATATAATGAATATATCATCATTCAACAAGAATTAGTGTAGTAAAGTAATAGTATAGAACAGGCTGTTTTTGCACTTATGCCAGGCATTTCATTCAGATGTTATAAATGAGATGAAATGCATTGTACTTGTTAAGTAGACTACATTTCAAAAGTTTTGGGTTGTCTAATATAATTAATGTGAATAATTCAAAATGCATAATTAATTCTAATCGAAGATCACGGTAACCTACTAGTAATGAATGACTCAAGTATTACCAAATCCTTCCAAAGGGATTACTAATTATTTGGATCAGTATTCTAAAGTGTAAAGCATGATAAAAGCTTTTAAGGTATATGTAAGGTTTTGGACAGTAACGACTCAAGTGTTACTACATCCTTCTAAAGGAACTAGTAATTATTTGGATCAGCATTCTAAAGTGAAGATCATGATAACCCACTAGTAATGACTCAAGTGTTACCAAATCCATTGGATGGAATTATGATCCTGAACCTTAAAAACACCTCAAAAGCTTACAGTACAATGACTTCTATCAATACTAGGGTACTGTAACGACAGATACGGATCCAAATGATTAGTAATTCCTTTAGAAGGATGTAGTAACTTTTGAGTCATTACTATCCAATACTTCACAAAACCCTCAAAAGCTTGCAATGCTATACAGCTATAACTAGAGTGTTATCACATCATTCACTTTAGATACTGATCCAAATAATTAGTCATTCCTTCTGAAGGATCTGGTAATGCTTGAGTCATTATTAGCAGGCTACCATGACCTTCACTTTAAAATTAATTATACATTGTGCATTATTGTGAACTACATTGTGTAGTTCTTAGTAGTTCTCTGGAAGGTATGAAAAAATAGCTGATAGTGAACTACCACTTTTAACAGAGTGCCATTACTTACTAATTCATTAATTGGAGTTTCTTGTTACTTCATAGTAGTTACTAGAGTGCTACAGTATAACTAATATTACAACATTATAAATAACTAACTAATAACTAACATTATAAATGTCTTTACTGTCACTTTTGGATACATTTCTTTCTTTCTCAATAAAAGTGTTCTTATTGACCGCAAACTTTTGAACAAAACTGTTACATTCACTGGATTACCAAAATTAAACATTACAGTGTGGTTATTTGTTATTTGGTAACTTGTTAGTCATTGCATGATGTAAGATCTTGGCCATACCGCCTACCCCTAACACCACCTAACACTCAACTGCTGTGATCAGAACTGCCAACGCATCAATGCTCTTCAGACACTGGGTAAACATGAGGACTGAGAAACAACATAAAAAAACCCTGTACAATTTATACTCTAATCCAGGTGTAGGCAAGTTTGGTCCTAGAGAGCCGAAGTCCTGCAGAGCTCAGCTCCAACCCTGAAAAAAAACTCACCTGCCTATAGCCTTAGTAATCCTGAAGACATTGATTAGCTTGTTCAGGTGTGTTTGATTAGGGTTGGAGCTGAACTCTGCAGGACTGCGGCTCTCTAGGACCGAACTTGCCTACCCCTGCTCTAATCCATCAGAAATCAATTCAATCCCAAGGAAATCTACTCACAGAATGCAACACAGATATAGGCTCATGGAGTTGGATATCATTCTACCTGACCAACAATATGATCATTATGCTGCAGACGCTCACTTGTGGCAGACATTGACCTAAAGACTATCCCAGCTAAAAAAAAATACAAATTATAAACCAGACTAAGCTGGTTAGCCAGTCTTATCTGGTCTCAGCCTGGTCATGCTGGTTTGTTAACTGGTTTTAGCAGGATTATGGGCACTTTTCAGGATTTTGGCCAGACTGAGAAACCAGCAGAACATCTTAGCCTGGTTTAAGCAAGTTTTCCAGCAGGGATATTTGAATATATGCATATTTACCAGTCTGCAGCAGGAGGTGGAGGGCTTCGCTGTTTGTTGACTTTGGCGTACAGGCCGTCCAGAGGGTCTTCTGCGGATGGCTCTCTGCTGTGGGACACTGGGGGCGGGGGTCTCTGCGGGGAAGGGCTGCGGTTCCCGTAGCGTGGCTGGGAAGGTGATCCGCGCTCCCTGAAGTTGTTGATGCGGGCGTAGTTGGGGTCAAGGTCATCATCCTCCACGTCAGGTGGGGAGAAGCGGTCCCGGACCTGGCGTTCCCTCAATTCCTGGTGCTTGGCCTCAATTCTGTAACACAGAAAAGCTGGTGTTAACCTACCTGGCTTTAATGATTATTATAATTTAAGCTGTTTGTTCAAAAGTGTGAAATTAAATTTTTTTATGCTTTTGAAATAAGTCTCTTATGCTCACCAAGGCTCCATTTATTTGATTCAAAATACAGTAAAACAGTAAAATTGTGAAATGTTATTACACTACTATTACACTATTACACTACTGTTATTAAATTTTTTTTGATCAAATAAGCTCAGCCTTGTTCAGCATAAGAGACTCCTTTTAACAACATTCAAAAATAATTACTCCAAACACTCGACCGGAAGAGTATGGTCTGAAATATCAACTGAGCCATTGAGCAAATCACACAAGCAATGAGAACACAACTGCAAGAACTTGAACTTGAATCGTATTTACACTTTCAAGGACGACTCCGAAAATACAATAAACTGGAAAGGTCAAGAAAGAGCTTTCGGACACATCCGGCTGATTTTCTCTCTCCCTCTTCCCTTTTCTGTCTCTCTTAGGAGCTACAACAGGCTCAGTCAATAAAGTCTCTCTCTGAACAAATGCCACTCTGGAGCATATGGAGGAGAACAGCATGGCTCCAGCTCACACTTCACACGTTTCCAAGTCCAAATAAGCCTCGGCAAACACCACACAAAATAATGACTGCAAAAACATCCCTGCATCTCAGCTAAATATATCCTTTTCTCCTGTATTCTGGCAGAATATACATGATACGCCGAGAGACAGAGATAGAGAGAGGAAGAGGAATCTAGTGCTGCGTGTCATCTCAGTAATGGACCACAAAAAGCTGTCAGTCCTACAGAGTGAATGAGGGAAAGGGACAAAAAATAAGAGATCTAATCCTGTGTGTAATACAATGAGTCACCTAAAACCCTGTGTGTCATACATGACAGTAATGAGCTATACCTTTGTTCCATACGGCAGGTAATGTTTTTTCCCAGCTTACTTTTGAGTTTCCTTATGAAATCTACTTCAGCTAGTAACTAACTGGTCAACTCATGCTATTTGGAAATGTCTTGGTGTTCTCACAAATGACGACAAAAACAACATGCTAAAAGATCTCTCAACTATATTCTGCTAACTTCACCACTAACGAATGCTATCTTTACATCAGTGAAACATATAAAATAATGTACAGTCATCCAATCGTTATCATATCATATCATATCATAAAATAAACTGTGACAGGGTGATCGGGACATTATAAGAGTCTTGTATCATCCTGAAGGGGTTTGTTTTGTGATAATGACGGGATTTGCTTCAGCTGAAATTATGTGCAAAAAAAGAAACTATAGAAACAATGTATGAAATCAACTGCTTGGGACAATGGTCAATTGTACAGTTTAGCAGTCATAATTTACTTATATTTATGCATATAGCAACAGCTTCAAATCTAAAAAGTGCATCTAACCCTTAACTATTTTGAATTAAAAAAAAAAAATTGCTTGTAAACCTTTATTTATTCTATATTATCATCAAATCTTGGATTTAATCAATTTATCAACTTGTTTTCTTTCAATTAGGACAGATTTTGTATTTCTTTTTAGAACTGATTGGTTGTGGGCCTCATTGATCTGAGCTCATTTCTTGAGTAAAAAAAAAAGAAAAAGAAAAAGAAATTCATTCTTTGAGGATAATTTTGGCAATGTTCACACAAAAACATGAGGTGCATGAGCTCAGATCAATGAGGCACAACACATTATGACATAATAATACAGCATAACCAGAAATGTAAAATACATTTTTAAATGACCTGTTATTTTTGACCAGGAACACCACAAGTGTAACAAGAGGGGAAAAACTGGTAATACCCTGTGAGCAAAGTCAGCAAGCTTTAGTCCAATGTGATAACATTAACTAGCATTTTCATAAAAAAAACAAAGGAAATCCTCTCCGGGTCAAAATGTTTGTACATAAATGTATCAAATTTCTTGGAAACTGTAAAAAGTCAGGCTAATGAACTATATTACTCAAAGAATTGTTGATTGCTATCATTATCATCAACAAATTAACTATTTATTGAGTGGATTATATGTTTTTGAAAACTGCAGTTCACAAATACTATTTGTTTTTGTGCAGTGTGTTTCAGATCGCGCCCTTTCACAGGTTACTGGGGAGAAGTCGTCCTCCTTTGAGCCTTGATTCCCAAATTTCTTTTACTTCCAGAGGGTATTACCTGCCACTGTTGCTTTGTGCTGGCTCAAGGGATCTAAGCCTGACTCATATAAAACTGCATAAGAACAATCTCCACAGTTCAGTTGCCTACATGGGCAGTAATTTAAGGCATTATAGTCATGATTAAAACACAAAGGCTGTTCCAAAACGTTGGTAGCAATCCCATAATGCAATGTGACAATGTGACTATTTTAATACATGTGTACTACATACACTACCATTCAACAGTTTGGGGTCGGTAAGATATTTTAATGTTGCTGCAACTGTAGAGTGTTCCAAATCAGTCACTTATGAGATTCCATCTCAGTTAGAATACCGTCTATGTAGGCAATAGAAAACAAGGCAGCTCACTGGGTTTTGATAGTGATTCACTGTGGTGTTATGGTGTAATGACATCAATCCCACCTTTCTCTCTCTTCCTTCATCCTCTCCAACTCTTCCTCACTCAGAATTTCTGATGTCTGCTTCTGCGCATTCATTTTTGTCTCCGTCTTGCTCTTCTCTTCTTTTTTCTTTCCAAATCTGAGAGAGAGAGAGAGAGAGAGAGAGAGAGAGGGGGGCATAGAAAGACATCACTGAGTGATCACAGTTTGCAAATGACGTTTATCTAGGAAAACAGGCTGAGTGACCGTCTAGTGTGTGTGTGTGTGTGTGTCACACCAGTGTCCTTTAGCAACTCACATCCGGCACACACTCAAACACAAGGACAGGATCTGATCTAGATTATCTTCACATGAATCTCACACATCTGCACACAATGATCATGATGTGAACATGTCTCTCATATACTCAATAACAGTAAGGGAGAACATGAGCTGTACAGAGTCCTACACAGCACTGCAGGTGGCACTTATACACACCATGATATCACTTCAACATAATCACAGGCTCTCAGCTACTGAGAAAAATAAAGATAAAAACACATAATTACAAAAAAGAATCAGCATGTAAGATATTCCATATACTGTTGGCAATCTAAAACAGGCATTAATGAAAGAATAAGGACACAAAGGAAGACACAAATAAATGATAAATTAATGTATGAAGTAAAATCAAGAACAAATGAATGAAACAAAAGAACAAACTAACAAACAAACAGATATGAAGGAATCACTGAACAAATTAACTGAACACTTAAATTATGAAACAAATAAACATGAAAATGAAAGAACTAACTAAATACTAACTAATTACAAAATTAAACAAGAAACCAAACAACAATCAAATTAGCAAACATATAAATATATAATAATAATAATTCGTTGCATTTATATAGCGCTTTTCTAGGCACTCAAAGCGCTTTACATTGTCAGGGGGTATCTCCTCCTCTACCACCAGTGTGCAGCATCCACCTGGATGATGCGACGGCAGCCATAGTGCGCCAGAATGCCCACCACACACCAGCTTATTGGTGGAGAGGAGACAGAGTGATGAAGCCAATCAGCAGATATGGGGATTGTTAGGAGGCCATGATGATCAGAGGCCAATGGGCAAATTTGGCCAGGATGCCGAGGTCACACCTCTACTCTTTTCAAAAGACATCCTGGGATTTTTAATGACCACAGAGAGTCAGGACCTCGGTTTAACGTCTCATCCGAAGGACGGTGCTTGTTGACAGTATAGTGTTCCCGTCACTATACTGGGGCGTTAGGACCCACACAGACCACAGGGTGAGCACCCCCTGCTGGCCTCACTAACACCTCTTCCAGCAGCAACCTAGTTTTCCCAGGAGGTCTCCCATCCAGGTACTGACCAGGCTCAGCCCTGCTTAGCTTCAGTGGGCAACCAGTCTTGGGCTACAGGGTGATATGGCGGCTGGCCATTTGATATAACAGAAGTATCTAATGAATGAATGAATGAACAAACACATGAAGTATCAATGAATAAATAAAATGAACCAATAAACAAATTAACAAACAAAATCAATATGAAGGAATCACTGGAAAAAAAAAAAAAAAAAAAAAAAAACAATGGACCAGCAAATGAACAAAATACTTAACTAACCAACAATAAATCAATCAAAAAAACCAAACAACAATCAAACTATCAAAAAACCCCACAAAGAAACACTAAAAATCACTAATGATTGAATGACTGAATGAATAACCAAACCAATGAATGAATGAATACAAGAAACAAACAAACAAATGAGGGCTCAAAGGAATGAATTAAGTAACCAAAAAAAAAAAAAACACTAAACACTACAATGGAGACTACAATGGATAAAGCCACTTTCATTTGTCGTGGGTATGTATATATCTTTCGCTGCAGAACCATTGAGACATCTAATGCAATGCCTTCAGAAACTATAGTTTAACACTAACACAGCAGGACTGTGTTCAGATGTTGTGAGAAACTCCAGAGGGCACAGAGTGAATACAACGAAAGCAAAATTCAGAGGTGATTCACACTTGCCTGCAGCTCAGTCATCGCTGCCTCATCTAAGTTAACAGATTTGTCCAGAACATTTCCTTCTTTCACTCAGTCTCCACCAGTTACTCAGCGCTCGATCAGGGCGGATGATTCACTGCCCGTCAGCGCTCCATCTTTCCTCTTGTTTCCAAACAAAGTCCAACGAACAAACGCTATGTTGCCAAGTTGCTGATTGACATTGCCAGAAGGAGAAGACGGTTTTCCCAGACAAACTGGAAAAGTGTTAAGATATCTGTATGAGGAATAAGGTGTCAGAATGATCAACGAGCCTGTGGTCAAATACAGGCCAAATAAACTTTCTGCCACCCAAACAAAAGACTTGGGATTTGAGAACATTTACTGAACATGACTATTTCTTACTGGCCAAGAAAGTGTATTCTGCACTATGAAAATATTAAGATACTGGGAATTATTTATGAACAGAAATTCACTCTGCTCATGTTTCATGAATGAGGCCTAATAATAATTTAGCTGGCCATTCATATTGCTTTAATTTGATTCGCTTACATCACCTATGTCAGCTCAGAAGATGTTTTGAGACCAAAATATAAACGCACATACACACAGCTCTCAGAGGAGGGCTGAGTTGAAAACGCATCTCCTGTACAGTAAGTCACACAACTCTTAGTGACCCCAGACATGTGAGACAGCAGGAGACATCCTCACACAGACACATTTAGTTCTTCAGTGTAATCGGTGCTGACTAATGCAGCTTAAGTGTAGACCAGATTTTCCATTCTCCAGTCAAACATACAATAACACACATTCATCTCTTATACCTGTTCTTATAACACTCCATCACTTTCCTACAGATACACACGCAAACATGTCTGAAATGAAAAGAAAAAGTAAACATACCCGCAAGTCATGTCATAATACACACTTTATGCTTAACAAAGCTAGAACGCAGCTAACTGACTTTCTCTTCTAAACTGTCCTCTTCCTCATACATAGTGTTGGAGAGATTCATTCCAGTGAACTGTTTCAAAAGTCAGAGTCATTGTAGTGAACTGATTTAAAATAACAGATTGATCCTATCGAACTGATTTAAAATAGCAGATTTACTGTAGTGAATAAATTCAAATAGATTCATTCTATTGAACTATTTAAATGACAGATTTATTTAAATGAACAAATTCAAATAGTCAGATTCATTCTAGTTAACTGATTCAAAAGTCAGATTCATTATAGTGAACTATTTAAATGACAGATTTATTTTAAGTGAAAATATTCAAAGTCAGATTCATTCTAGTGAACCATTTAAATGACAGATTTATTTTAAGTGAACAAATTGGAACAGACAGATTCATTCTAGTGAATGGATTTAAAAGTCAGATTCATTCTAGTGAACTACTTAAACGACATTTATTTTAATGTGAACAAATTCAAATTGTCAGATTCACTCAAAACTTAGTTCAATGAGAGATTTATTTTAGCGAACCATTTCCTAAAAATGGTTAGATTCATTCTAATGAATCAATTCAAAAAGTCAGATTCATTCTACTGAACTGATTTAAAACTGCCGATTTATTCCAGTTCAACTAATCAGATTCATTCTATAGAACCGATTCAAAAAGTTTGAATCATTCCACTGAACTGATTTAAAATGGTAGAGTTATTGTAGTGAAATGATTCAAAGTCATATTCATTCTACTGAACATTTAAAAAATGATTCACCAACGTGATTCCCTTTGAGACTTTGCAGGCCTTGTTTTTAATTATTATTATATATTTATTTTTATTTATTTATTTTTGTGTGAAGTGTTTAGTTAAATGCTGATGTTCATTATTGTGTTCACTTCAAGTTACATAAATTAGAGTTTTCCAGTTTTATTAACATAAAAGTATCCGATTAAGTTAAATAATGTTATGAGATTGAGATTGGATTTTCATTCAAAAACTCTCAATGTCTAAAATCCCCTTGGCTAGATTAAATTAGCATTATTGTCATAAGATACATAAATATAAAAAAAATACTGTTAGTGTGTGGTGTAACTACATTTTCAAAAGAGTAGCTAGACTGTAATTGAACCATTTTCAATGAGTAGTTCAGAGAGCTACTGTTTTAAAATAACATCTCCACTCTGATATCCAGCCCATGCCTTAAAGTTTACAGTTTATACTGCAATTTATTCAGTCAAAACAGGAAGGAAACAACTGTATTCAAAGCCTGAGGTATGTGAGCGTATACCAGTAAAGAAGCCTCGTAAACACAAGCATGCATTATGTTAAATGTGAATGAACAGACGAGAAAGGACAAGCCATCCCACTGTTTCTCTCTCTCGATCATGCACCCTTCCTGTATGTCCTCTGGCTGTGTATTTGTGTGTGGATGCAGCGCACTCATAACTTAATTACTGTATTTATCTTATTAGACTGCAGCTATTTAATGTTAGTGCTTTGGCATGCGCTTCCTGCACATCCATTCAGCTGCCTCATTAAGATCAGGCCCTATGAGACCTAAACGCTAAAACTCACACTCACATTAACACATAACATGCTGCTAATGCATTCTGACACAGCATTTATCAATACAACGAAAGAAAAATCCTGAGCAAAATGACCATAAACACTCTAAAAATTGTCAATGACAGTAAAGACTTCTATAATGTAACAAAATATTTCTATTTCAAATAAACAACTGTTTTCAACACTGATAATAATAAGAAATGTTTAATAAGCAGCAAATCAGCAAATCTGAATGGAGTAGTAACTGCTGAAACTTTGCTATCACAGAAATAAAAATTAATAAAGTATAGAAAACAGTTATTTAACTGGTGATTTCAACATTATACTGTTCATATGCACCCATCTTGGAAACACGATCATTCAAGTGTGAAGGCAGCATAAGAAATGCTAAATTTATGTAATCAGCCAATCAAAATGGAGCTTGCCATTTCGCGAATATGAACGACCCGGGGGTGTGCCGTCTTAGGCTGACACCAGATGATTTTCCCCAAGTGTAAGTGGATGCACCAGAGACAAACATGTCTTTTAACAGGATCTCTGACCCTCAGCTAAAGGGCACAGCGGCCACTATCAAAGGAGGAGCCCAGCTGAGCCCAAAACAGCACATGGATAAATAAAGGCAATAATTAGGCTGTCATAAGAGACCCTGCCACTAGCTTCAGCTGTTCAGAGATGCTTCTAACAGACTGTCAGTTAACCAGGCACAGCACTTAGAGGGGGAGTGGTTACAGGACAAGAGAAAGACAGATGTGGCATGCCAAATTACTACTAACAATTTTGAAGTCACACTGGAAAATACTGTATGGATTTTTTCCAACTAATTCTTATCTTCAAAATTTTATTCATGCAAGTTTGTAAATTCCCCAATTAAACAAATGAACTGACAAATATGATATAATATTTAAAACAATTCTGATTATGTAAATACATTACAATATTTTAAAATGTCATTTATTCCTGTGATGGTAAAGCTTAATTATTTTTCAACCCAGGCTCATAGGAAATATGCCTCTAAATACAGTACATTTCTGAAACAACGTTATTTGTTTCAGAAACGCTTCAGGTACATATTGCGGAGGTTCATGATTCAAATATCCGGGGAGTGTCACTAAAAGTTAATGCTCTATCGTGTTGCTTAAAAGTTAATGCTCTATATCCCCAACAACAAAACCAACCCTAAACTTACCCGATAGTGTTAACAAATGCAAAACTGGTATAAAAATGGATTTGTTGATGCATCCATGCCATTTGAACTTCCTTATATGCAGGTTTGAACTGTTTTGTGGAACCTACTGAATATAAAAACCCATACATATGAAGATGGATATGTGACGCTAACGTTCAAAAGTATCAGTTTTCAAATGTTGCAGCATGTTAAAATTGTTTTGAATGCATAACATGATATTCCTCATATAATTGAGTGAAAATTAGGCTTTATTAATCGA